CATCGACGGACAGCTTCTCGTTCTTCAGCGGGTCAGTGATAAAGCCGGTGGCAGCCTGCGCCTCCAGCAGCACCAGCGCTGATTCTGGTGTTAGGAGACCTCTCTCTAGGGCCTGGTAGATGCTCATCTTCTCTTTCTTGGCTGGCAGCAGAACTCCAACAATGCAGCCAGTTCCTTCCAGATACCTCTTGACAGAGTCCATTTGTGTGAGTTTATGGACTGTGAGAGTTCCTTTTTGCAGATTGTCCAGTGTTGTCTTGTCAATTATCTCAGCGTTGAATAACTCTGACACAGATACATGTCCTCTGAGTCCTTTAACCTTAAGGGCTTGGGTTCTGAGTTCCATTTCCTCAATGATGGTGGTGATGACTGTGATGAGCTGTTCTATTGTGAGGGTTTCACATTTATATTGCTTCACTAGTTCTTTTCTTTTCTGTTCTGAGATGTACTGAGAGCAGAGCAGGTCCCAGAGGGACACTGTTTGGCCTTTGAACTTCCCAACTTGCATTTTAATGGGTTTTGAGCGTAAAAAGTGTTTCATTGACTCATCGATATAGAAGTATGTCCCCCCATGCTTTACTATTTGGAGCATGTACAGCCCAGTCTCTGGGTCTTGGACACATCTCTCCAGGAGTTGTATGTAAGTGAGGTTCTCGTGCGTGTTGGGGTCGAAGAAGCCCTTGGTGTCGTCGCTGGGGTCAGAGAGGATCCGGTTCATCTCTTCGTCGAAGTAGCCCCGCTTGTAAGCCACCTCCACGGGGAGGCGGTGACTGTGCACGGGGTCGATGATGCCGCCGGTGGCGACCTGGGCCTCCAGCAGGCGGATGCCGTGGCCCTTGAGGATCAGCCCCTGGTTCATAGCTTCGAAGAGGGAGATTTGGCCTTTTGTGAAGGGGTCAGTGTATCCGGTCACTGCTCTCTCTGCAGACAGCAGCTTCTCATAGACCTGTTGTCCAATGAGCCCAGCAGCAAGTGCCTCCTCCACTGACAGCCTCTTGTTCTTCACCGGGTCAATAATAAACCCGGTAGCAGCCTGCGCCTCCAGCAACACCAGCGCGGTGCCCGGCCTCAGCATTCCTCTCGTCATAGCCTGGTAGATGCTCATCTTCTCATTGGCTGGCTGTACTAACACTCCAGCTATGAAGTTACCCCCCTCCAGGTATCTCCGGACGGAGTCCATCTCTGTGACTTCTTTGACAGTTTTCTGTCCCTGCTTGAGTTCGTCCAGGGTTTTCTTGTCTATCAGCTGAGACTGGAAGAGGTCACTGGCAGACACCTGCTTCCGCAGGCCCTTGAACGTGAACCTCTTGCCTTGCTTCTCAGTTTCTTCAATGATTGTGGTAACGGTGGTGATGATTTCTTGCAGGGCCACAGCATTCTCCTCTTTGTATAGTTCCACCAGCTCTCTCTGCTTGCAGTCTGTGATGTACTCGGAGTTGAGAAGGTCCCAGAGGGAAACTGTCTGCCCTTTGAACCGTCCTACTGCAACACAGACTGTCACAGATTTCAGCACCTCCATGGTTTGTTTGTCCACATAGAATGCTGCAGTTTCAGACAGAGGTAGTAGCCAGAGGCCTGTTTCAGCATCAGGGACACACCTGTCTTTCAGCTGCTGGTAGGTCAAGTTTTCCTTTGTGTTTGGATCAAAGAAGACTTTGGTGTTGTCAGTGGGCTGGGATAGGGCCTGGTTCATTTCTTCATCATAAAAGCCGTGCATGTAGGCTGCAGGAAGAGGAAGATGATGATGGTGGATGGGATCGATGACCCCTCCTGTAGCCAGCTGGGCCTCTATTAAGGGAACACCATCGCTCATGGGAATGAGGCCTTTCCTGATTGCTTGACAGACTGAGATTGAGTTCCCCGTGTATGGGTCTGTGTAACCGGTCACTGCTCTCTCTGCTAGAAGCAGCTTCTCCATGAGTTCCTCACCGACAATGGCTGCTTTGACGGCCTCCTCCACACCAAGTTTCTGGTTTGTTACTGGGTCTATAACAGCTCCTGTAGCTGCTTGAGCCTCTAGCAACAACACCCCTGTCCCTGGCAGGAGGAGATTGTTTTTCATTGCTTGGTAAATGCTCATCCTCTTCTTGGAGGCCTGTATGAAAATCCCAGCAATACTCCCTGTGCCCTGTAAGTATCTCTTCACGCTCTCCATCTCGGCTACTTCTCTGGCCGTTTGTGTTCCCTGAGCCAGATCCTCGAACGTCTTCTCGGTAATGATGCCAGCATCGAGCAGCCAGACGGCAGGCACACTGCCCCTCAGGCCTTCGAAGGTGATGTGGGTATGGGCTTTCATCTCTATTTCCTCAACAAGCTTCAGGACAAGAGTGACCAGCTGCCAGACAGACACGTCCTCAGACCGGTACTTCTCCACAAAGTCATTTCTCTGCTCCTCAGTGAAGTAGCCAGAGTGGATCAGCTCCCAGAGGGAGACCCCTTTCTCCTTCACCATGGTCTCCTTGAATAGCTGCTGGATCTGCTCATCCGTGCGGACAGGCACAGCTGTCTGTGGCAAAGGCAGCAAGTGGAGGCCAGAGTTTTTGTCCTTCTGGCAGCGCGCGATGAGCTGAGCATAGGTCATAGGCTCCTTGCTGTTGGGGACAATGTAGACCCTGGTATTATCAGAGGCACTAGAGAGAGTTTTGCTCATGTCCTCATCCAAGTAGCCTTGTTTCTGGGCAAATTCCACAGGGACATAGTGGCCACGGTGGGGGTCAATGATGCCTCCTGTGGCAATTTGGGCTTCCATGAGCTGAACAGCCTGTTTGTCGGCGATGAGGCCCTTCTTCATGGCTTGGAAGAGGGAGATCTTTTCCCCAGTGAAAGGGTCTTTATAGCCCATTACGGCTCCTTCCGCGTGCTGCAGTTTCTCATGGAGTTCTGGCCCGATAACCCCTTCCCTGACGGCTTCATCAACGCACAGCTTCTGGTTGTTCACTGGGTCGATGACGAAACCAGTAGCGGCCTGGGCCTCGAGCAGTGGGAGAGCCACTCCTGGCATCACAATCTTCTGCTTCATGGCTTCATAGATGCTCATTCTCTGGTTTGATGGCTGGAGCACGATCCCCCCGATGCTGCCGGAGCCATAGAGGTATTTCCGGACAGAGTCCATGCGCAGGACGTCCTCCGGGCTCACAGCTCCCTCCAGCACCCTCTCGAACAGGGCCTTGTCTATGATGCCAGTTTCTAGCAGGTGGTAGGCCGTGACGCTGCCTCTCATGGCTGGGAATTTGATGTGGGCCCATTTTTTCATCTCTTCCTCCAACATGAGTCTGATCTGCTCCAGGGTGAGCTTCCGCAGCTGGTAGTGATTAAATATCTCCCGCCGCTTTCCCTCGCTGAAATACTCAGAGTTCAACAGGTCCCACACGGAGACCCTTTCTCCTCGGAACCTCCCGTACTTCACGAGGAGCCACGTGCTCCTGAAGGCTTGTTTGGTGGTGTCATTGATGAACTGGCGCTTCTTGCTGTTCAGAGGCAGGAGGCAGAGTCCAGTGGAGGGCTCTGTGATGCACTTCTCCTTCAGCTGCAAGTACGTGAGGTTCTCGTGCGTGTTGGGGTCGAAGAAGCCCTTGGTGTCGTCGCTGGGGTCAGAGAGGATCAAGTTCATCTTCTTGTCGAAGTAGCCCCGCTTGTAAGCCACCTCCACGGGGATTCGGTGGCTGTGCACGGGGTCGATGATGCCGCCGGTGGCGATCTGGGCCTCCAGCAGGCGGATGCCGTGGTCTCTGACAATGTGGCCTTTGCTCATGGCCTGGAAGAGGGAGATCTTGTTGCCGGTGTAGGGGTCTTTGTAGCCAGTGACTGCTTTCTCTGCTGCCAGCAGCTTGTTGTAAATATCTGGGCCGATGACGCTGGCTCGCAGAGCCTCCTTCACGGAATATTTCTTGTTTGCAGCTGGGTCGATGATGAATCCAGTGGCAGCCTGTGCCTCGAGGAGGATGAGGGACGTCCCTGGCATTAGAAGGCCTTTCCTCTTTGCCTGGTAGATGCTGATTTTCTCCTGGGAATCGGGCAGCAGCAGCCCACTGATACTACCTGTCCCTTCCAGGTACTTCCTGACTGTGTCCATGCCGACAACGTCTCTGGCGGATGTCTCCCCTTGGCTCAGCTTCTCAAACAAATCCCTGTTGATGATTTCAGCACTCAGGAGCTGGCTAGGGGTCACCTTGTGCCTCAGGCCTTCAAAGGTGATATTGGCGGTGGAAGCCATTTGCTGAACGGTGGTGCTGACGGTCTTAGCCAGTTCCTGCATGGAGAGAGTCGCGGTGCGGCACTGCTGGGTAAGCGTGGCCCTTTGCGCACTTGTGAAGTAGTCTGAGAAGAGGAGTTTCCAGAGCGACACCGACTTCCCCTTGAATTTGCCACAGGCCACAGGTACTGTTGTGTTTTCCAAAGCCATTCGGGTCCTGTGGTCAATGAAGGACTGCATGCCCCGAGACCCTTCCCCATCATCTCCGAAGAGTGGCAGCAGGCGGAGACCGGTGTCTGGGTCAGTGACGCACCTCTCCAATAACTCTGCGTACATCAGGGTCTCCTTCGTGTTGGGGTCAAAGAACCCTTTGATGTCATGGGTGGGATGGAAGAGGAGCCGCTTCATCTCTTCATCGAGGTAGCCCCGTTGGCAGGCCATCTCCACTGGGACACGGTGATTGTGGACTGGATCGATGAGGCCACCGGTGGCCAGCTGGGCCTCCAGTAGGTAGGTCCCCTGGTCCCTGGCAACGAGCCCCTTATTCATGGCTTGAAACAGAGAGAGCAGCTCCCCAGTGCAGGGGTCTCGGTACCCGGTGACGGCTCTCTCAGCGGATGACAGCTTCTCATAGAGCTCCGGCCCAACCACACCAGCCTTGACAGCATCATCAACTGAGAGTCTCTGGTTCTTGGTGGGCTCTGTCAGGCAGGCAGTGGCAGCTTGGGCCTGCAGGAGGGTCAGTGCTGTGCCTGGCATGAGGAGGTGCTCTGTCAGCGCCTGGTACAGACTCTTCCTCTCACCGATAGGCAGTACGGCTACACCTGCAATGCTTCCCGTGCCCTCCAGGTACTGCTGAACATGGTCCATCTCTGCTACCTCCTGGACGGAGACCCGGCCTTCCTGGAGGGCCCTGAACGTTTCCATGTCGATGATGCTGGAGCTGAGCAGCTCTCTGCTGCTCACTCTCCCTCTCAGCCCCGGGAAGGTGATTTTCAGAGGCAAGAGGAGGAGCCCGGTGGCCGGATCGATCATGCACCGTTTCTTAAGCTCCCGATAGGTGACCCTCTCGCTGGTGTTTGGGTCAAGAAACCCTCTGGCAGCAGCAGAGCTGGGGTCAGAAAGGAGCTGGCTCATCTCGTCACCACAGTGTCCCTGCTCGTAGGTAACCTCCATGGGGACGCGGTGGCTGGTGGCTGGATCCACGAGGCCCCCTGTGGCGATCTGGACCTCCAGCAGACGGGCGCCCTGCTCCCGCCCGAGCAGCTCTTTTTGGATGGCTTGATAGAGCGAGATCTTCTCATCCGTGTAGGGGTCCATGAAGCCAGTTGCTGCTCTCTCTGCAGACAGCAGCTTTTCTTTCAGCTCCAGGCCTACCAGCCCCAGTCTCACGGCCTCTGCCACGGAGAGCCGCTTGTTTCCCACCGGGTCGATGAGGGAGCCTGTGGCTGCCTGAGCCTCCAGAAGAGCAAGTGCTGTCTCAGACATCAGGAAATGCTCTCTGGTGGCATCATAAAAACTCATCGTCTTCTTGGAAGCCTCCACATACACCCCAGCAATGGTCCCAGTCTCCGGCAGGGGCTCTGTGACCCCGTGGGGCTCCACACCCCTCTGTCCCCGCTTGCCAGGCTGCATGTCCTGATGGAAGTGACTTCCTCCTGGGGTGTCTTCTGGGTGAGCTGTGGGGGTGGCATGTCCATTCACTGCCTGCTTGTGCGCCATGCCGTCTGCCCTAGTGCGCTGCGCTCCCCTCCGGTGACGGTGGGGCCTCGCTCACCTCCTGGGGCAGCGCCCGCGTCTCTGCAGAGAGAGAAGAGGCTCCATGAGACACAGGCACGTGCAGTTTTCATGGTACATGTGAACAAGAGAAGTATCTCTGCAGACACAATGCCAGGAACTGGACTAGCGGCAGGGAGCGGAGCCAGTGCAGCCCCCTGGGCTGGGGGCATCCAGACAACAGTGAGAGCGAGACGAGAACTGCCAGAGGCAAGACTCTCCTCCCCCCTCTCCCACCGTGGGCTGGATTAGCACCAGAAGGCCCCTAAACCACCCCTTCCCCCTGAAGCCCTGCTCCTTGAAGCCCCGCCCCTTCCCCTGAAGCCCCGCCCCTTCCCCGAAGCCCTTCCCTTGTGCCACCCCTTCCCCCTGAGGCCCTGCCCCCACGCTGCCCCTTCTCTCCGAGTCCCTGCCTTTGCACTGCCCCTTCCCCCTGAGCCCCCACCCTCGCACTGTCCTCGCACGGCACATGCTGGCCCAGTGCACTGACATGTGCCTGCCGTGCGAGGAGCCTGTTGGGGGTGTCTGTGTGGCCACAAGGCCATTGCCCTGTGTGGCGGCACCTGTTCCCCACAAGCCCTGCTCCTGTGTATCCACCAGCATGGCCAGAGAAGTGACATGGCGCGGCCTAGAGGTGTCAGAGACGAGCGGGAAGGGGCTCGCTGACCCCCTTTGCCCTGTACAAGCAGCAGCCTCAGGCTGAGACACCAACCATCTCTCCCTGATGGGAGGGTGGGGATGGAGAGTACAGCAGCACCGGGGGTGGGAGGGGGGGGGAGCAAAGCCAGCCGGAAACCCCCTGGAGCAGGGAGCACTGGAGGTGGCTGGGGAGGATTTCCGGCTGAGCGATCGGCGGGGGGGAATGGACTGGGGCAGGCTGGGGCGGGTCCCCGTGAGCGTGCGGAATCAGGGCAGGGACGGATGCTGGCGGCTCAGTGGCAGTCCAGCCTGGGCTGTACCTGTGGGCCCAGGTCGCCACACTGGGGATTTGCGCTCTCCCCGTTGGCCCTGGCGCAGTGGCTGCCTTGTTTGCAGGAGCCAGTGCCGAGGCTGGGGGATTCGCAGCTGAGCATCCGGCAGCCGGCCCAGGGTTGGCGGGGGGCTGTCTGGTACGGAGAGCTGGGCTTTGAAAGGGGCATCCCTGGGAGGCTGGCGTCCTGGCCAGTGTCCCGGGGACAGCGTGGGGGCAGCAGAAGCAGCTTCTCCCCTTCCTTGTATTTGTTTTATACCTGCTGCCTATTAATTTCTCCAGGGCCGGCCTTAGCAAGAGCAGGGCCCGATTCCTGGAATCGGGCTGCGCTCGGGCCGGGGTCGCGGGGTTTGGGTCCGGGCCGGGTCCAGGGGTGCTCGGCCAGCACCGCTCAGCCGGGGCCGAGGCTGGGCCGGCGCGCTCGGGCCGGGACGGGGACGGCGCCCCGGGGCCCAAGCCAGAGCCGCCGGGGCCGGAGGTGCTCGGGCCGGGGCCGGGGGTGCTCGGCCGGCGCCAAGGACGGAGCCGCGGGGCTGGGCCGGGCCGGGGGTGC